AATTCAAAAAGTTTATAAATATTAGTAGTATTTGTAGTTTAATTCTAATCAATAAGAAATTAATAATTTTTCAATAACTATAGATTTGATATTAGATAAAAAAACATATTTATAAAATATAAAATATTAAATGAGATAAAAAATATTTTCTTTTAAAATTAAAATTAAATTATAAACATTATTAATTTAAAAACAAAATCGAAATTTATTATTTTGACAAAATAAATTTATATAAAAAAATAAATTATAATAATATTATATTTTTCAAAAAATTTATTTAAAAATATTAAAAATTTTAAATTTAAAATTCAAATTTTTATTAAATAATAGATAATTTAAAATAGAATATACGTTGTAATAAATAAAAAAAAAATATAAAAGAAACGAATAATTATTTAATAAAAAAAATATAAAAATATTAAATTATATATAAAAATATATATATATATATTTATATATATATATTTATATATTTATATATTTTTATTTATTTATAATAATAACTAGAATTTTTTTTTTAAAAAAAAATCATTACAATAATTTCATTCACTTAAACACTACATATTTTCATCATTATATTAAAAACCTTCCTTGCAATTAATTCATAAATTTTAATTATTTTTTGAACAAATTTTGAAATTTCTTTCACAAATATTTGATAAAAGATATTTGCTAACACCCGAATCTAAATTAGGAAAATATCCTTGTTTTTAATTCATTCATTTATAAATTGTTTTCTTCTAATAATGTTATAAACTAACATCTAGTACACTCATTAGCTGATGGTCCTTTACATCTAGAACAATTGTTATCACATGATTCACATTTTCCAGCATCATCGAATGAACCTGAAGGACAATCTGATTTACAAGTATTATCTGTGTTCAAGAATTTATTTTAAGGACATTAGCCTTTTGAACAATTATAATTATCGACTACTCCGGAGCATTTTATGGAGCAATCAACTCCTCCAAATCTGTCTTAGCAGATGCATTGACCGTTTACACAAACTCCTTTTTAGGAACAAAAATTTGGATATATAATAATATAATTACAAAATCTTTCATAATCTTAAGGGCATGTGATTTAACCATTAGCTTTTTCGCCATTTGTATCGATATTCTTTTACATATTTTATTCCCCTTTTCTATATGCAACTTATAAATCAATCTCAGGGAAAATAACAGTTATTTGAGATGCATCTGAGGAACATTAGAATTAATGGCATCTGAATACATCTGGATACTAATTCGTAGATGAGGACTTTGTAGCTGTAGATTTGAAGCATTTACTTTGAGTTGAATAATTAGATAATTTATCCGTATTCTTTTTCTCTTACATCTTAATCACTTACAATATTCGGATTTGTGCACAATCTATCATTATAAAAGCCTAATACAATATTACATTTTTTATTTCTTAGAATATAGAATACCAATTCTTTCATAATCAAATGAACATTACTCTTTATCAACTAATTGAAAATATTCATCGTATTAAATTGTACTTTAGCAAGTGTTTTCTAAGAAATCGCCACCTTTTCCTTTACCACAGAATATTTTCTCAACCATATTCTCATTTACTTCAGCATAAAAGCCTGTGTCTTTATAAGCAGCAATTGTAAATATAGAAAAAGCATTATCAGTAAAACTTAATTTTAATTCATAATTTCATAATAAAGAATACTTAAATACCGAATTCGTAATATCTTTGATAATTCTATTTTCTTTATATAAAAATAAATATAAATATAAATATAAATATAAATATATTATATAAATATAAATATTCCTCTAAAATTTCTAAATTTATTTATTTAATATTAAATATTTTTTTTATTATTATTATTATATTTTTTTTATTTTATATATTATTTTTAATAATAAATAAAATATCTGATTATATTATTTCAATTTTAATGTGATCATTATAAAGTTTTATTTTTAAATTTAAATAAAAATATATATTTAGTAATTTTTTATTTTTATTTAAAATTTAATTTTTATATAATAAATACATTTTTATTTTATTTAATAATTTTTTTTAAATTATTTTAAACATTAAAATTTATATTAATTAAATATACATTTATTTAATTAAATATTTGAGTTATTTTTAGAAACTATAAAATAATGTCTTATTATGCATTATTTATATTATATTAATTTTTTTCATCACTTTTTTATGATATATATATCCATTATATCTTTTATTTTAAGATTTATATATATTATTATAATTATGAAAATTTTTTAAACTAATTTTTTTTAAATATTTGTTTTACTTGAAAATTTTTAGTTTTAACTATTTTTTTTTTTTTTAATTTAAATTTAAACTATATTTTAAGTATTATATAAAATAAATATATTAATCTTTGCTTTAAATCAAATATTATAGTGTCTTAAGAATTTTTAATGGTAGTTAAATATTATTTTATAAAATTTTGACCTTTAAAAATTTAAAATATAAATTATGGCTTTAAATTTAGACGAGATAGAATTTAAATAATAATAATTTATAAAAGATATAAAATTTGGTTATAAAATACATAATTAATGCAAAAATATAATTAGAAAATGATGAAACTAAACAATAAAAATTTACTATTTTTTGTATAAATTATAACTTTTAATAATTTAGTAAAAAAATCAATTATAAGTTGGCATACCACCCTAAATAAAGCGATTTTTAAGCAACTTACATATTATTTCGAAAATTAAAAAAAAAAAAATATTTAAAAATAAATAAGAACATTTTTATAAACTATATATTATCTTTTCGCAATTATAATTTAATTTTTATTAAAAATGATATAATTAAAAATAAATAAAAGATAAAATTTTTTTTAATAAAACAGGGTTTAAAAAAGATATTTAAAATAATTTTATGATAGTTATTTGTATTTATAAAAAGGTTTATATTATAAATTTATTAAAATAATTGTTTTAATGATTATTAATATTTTTTTTTTAAATAATTTTCAATTTCTATTATAAAAAACAAATTTTAATACTATACTTATTAAAAAAAATATAGTTATTTTTTTATAAAAAATAAAAAAGTATATAAATAAGTTTATCTACAGTTAAAATTATAAAAAAATAAATAATGGCAAAAATAAATACAAAAATTAAATATATATATATATATAAATATATATATATATATATAATTATTTATAAATATATATATATACTTTATTAATATATTCATAATTTCTTAAAATTTAAATATTTATATAAATTTGTACAAAAAAATATTAATTTAAATTTTTTAAGATAATATATTTATTTAAAAAATAAAGAAAAATAAACATAATATATTAGATATTAATATTTATTAAATAAATTTAATTTATAAAAAAATAAAAATGAATATAGTATTAAAATTAATAAAATATAAAAAAAATGGAAAATAATTATATATAGGAATAAAAAAAATTATAATATAAGTGTAAAATTAAAAAAATATTCAAAAAAAAAAAAAATTAAAGAATTAGAAATAAAAATAAAAATAAAAAAATAAAAAATAATGAAAAATTATTATTAATAATAAAATTAATAGTAATAATAATATTAATAATAATAATAATAATAATAATAATAATATCAATATATAAGCCATAATAATAAAATATTTTCTCTCATATATAAAAAAAAAAATTATAATAATTTATAAAAAATATTTTTATTTCAAAATAAATAAAAAAAAATATCTTAATATAATATCTTAATTATTAATTTTTTTTTTATAATAAAATATATATAATTTTAAAAATTATAGAAGATATATTATTTCATAAAAACTTAAATCTAAAAGATTATTTATTTATTTTAAAAATAAAATATAATAAATTAAATTAATAAATTTTTTTTACAATGATATAAACTTACTTATAATATAAATAAATTATTAAATTATTTATAATTATTTAAATATAAAGATATATATATATATATATATATATATATTTAAATTTTTATTAATATTTATAAATCGATTTTTTATTTATATATATTTTTTTATTTTACATAATAAAAATGTAATTCTTTATATTGCGAAAATCGTTTTATTCATTTATTTTATAATATTTTTAAAAAGTACTACTTTTTAAATATTAAATTAAATTTTATTTCTAATTAAATTGTTTAATTTTTTTAATTTTTGAAAATGATTTTAAAACGACTTTTTATTAAATTTTACATTACTTATTATAGATTCTAATTCCTGAAAACCTTATTAGATATCTATAAATTTAATTTTTATTTTAAAAAAACAGAGTATAATAAACTGCTTTTTTAACATCTAAAATCTTTTTATAATTTTATAAATTAATGTTTAAAAATTACTCTTATATATGAAATAATTGATTTTTTTAATAAAATATAAAAATTTATTATTTTTACAAAGAATATATATTTTTTATTAATTTTTAATATTAAATATAGATAATAAAGTGATACGCATTTTACAATAAAACTTTATTTCTTTAAGAATTTTTATTATTTTAGTTAAATTTCCTAAAATTGATATTTTTTTTTTAAATAAAAACTTTAGGTCCAAATTTTTTTAAAAAAAATTTAATTCTATTTTATTAAGTAAATAATATCTTTATATCTATTTATAAACTAATATGATTTATTTTTAGAAAAACCTTCCATATTAAAATTATAAATTTTATTTTTAATAAAACTTTAAAGTATAAGAAAAATTTGATAAATAAAATAAAATTTTAATTTATATTTATTATTATAATATTTTAATATTATTTTAAAGATAAATAAATCAATATTATCATATTTTAATAAAATAGTATATATTATATATTAATTTATTTAATTGTATAAAATTCGTAATATTTTATATAATTTTTTCTAGAAAAAAGTTTAAAATAAACAATCATTTCAATATTTTATGAGAATCCCTTATTTAATATACTTATCGCAATCAGAATATTACCCATAAAATATACTGAAAATTCATATTTAATATAATCTTTAAATAAATTTATTTTATTTATAATAAAATTTCCTTTATATATTATTTTGAAACAATATGAAAGATTGCTTTAAAAACTTTTTATTAAGAAAATAAGAAACTTATAATTGATTTTTTTAATAAATTACAAAATTATTAAACATAAATTCTTTATTTTTTTTAGTTTTTAGATAGTTCTTTTTAAAATTATATGATTGTACCGCTAAATAATATTTTTTTTTATAAATTATTATTTAAATTATATATATGGTTCATATCCGAATACATATATAATCATAAAATAATTATATATTAGAAATTAAATATTTTTATAATAAATTTATAATTTATTTATTTAAAATACATTTTTTATAAAATTATATTTTAATATATTATAATGAAATAAAAATCTTTTTATCCAAATCAAAAATATTAATTTAATTACAAAATATATATGTTAAGCAAAACCCAATTAAAGTATAAAAATAATAAAAATAGATTAAAATATAATTTACCATTAAAAAAAAATATAAAAATAAATAATTTATATTTAAAAATAATAAAAAAAAAAAATGTTTAAAAAACAAATTTTAATGATTATCCTGATATTATGTATACTATCCCATACTTACCGTTAATACGGTCATGACAGTAAAGAAATGCAAAATCACTATTAGAAAATGTACGAAGCTTACGAAAAAATGAAAAATTTAGACCCTTTCTAACGTATCCTTTAAACAGGTTCCGAGCCTAAAACTATGCCTAAGCCTATAAGGATAACTACAAATTATTCCTTTTTTGATTAAGGAGATGTAACTTAATAATAAAAAAGCTACATATAAAATCTTATGGAAACATCCAAGGTTTATTTCTAAAAACTTTTGAAAGTATATCAATTAAAAGGAAATAACATTTTCCCTTAAAGTTATAGTAAATGTATTGATATATAAATTCCTAATAATGATTAAATTAATGGAGTTCCTGATTCAGACTTACATTTATATATTATTTATAGTAAATAAGATAGTTTAACAATTGCAAATGCTGGTCCTTGTGCTGTTGCTTAAGTAGGATACACTAGGCCTACTTTTGGAAGAATTAATTTTAACTTAACAAATATGAATAAATCTGTTGGTAATCAAGAAAATTTTTAGGATAATCTAAAAACTACTCTTCATGAAATGTTACATGTATTGGGTTTTTAAGGAGGAGCTATGTACTTTTGGATAGATCCTGATACTGGAAAAAATTATGGAAGTGACTTTAAAATTAAATTGTAAATAACAAAAACTTATAGAGGAAAAAAAACAACTCTTTTAACTTCCAAAAACGTAGTAGAAGTTACTAGAAAATATTATAGTTGT